ATCATCGTATCGGTTGTCCTTTTGAACAAAATATTTGAATACCATCACTGAGCTCAACATCTTCAGCTGTCAAAACAGCATCAATGGGCCGATGTAGAAAGACAATGCTCGATCATTGCAGTCTGCCAATCTGCTCCGGATCTCTCAACAAAAGCTGTGACCATCCGTCCTAAAGTTCGCTGCTGGAGCAGATGCTGACGCCCAGGCTCGTTCCGAATCTAGAAGAGAAGTGCGTCCGTATCCAAATCTGCCTCTCTAGCCATCATCACCTCATCGTCGGGATCTCCATGGGTAATGTGCAAAGCACCTCACGTAGATTGGAACCTCGGTTGCAACACGTCGCGATCCATACAATGAGCTCAATGCGGTCGAAAAGGTGTAGAAGCTACTCTGGTGTCGCTTTGGAACAAAAGCCAAACAACAAACAACGACACAACAGACTGTGGCGACGCTGGACGCGCCAAGGAAGACGCAACACCACCGACGATTCGGCATGACATCGGGGATGCATAATTTGCTCTGCCGGCGGCGAGGCAGAGCCGGCTGCACCAACGATAGAGCTAAACGGTGGCACCGAGAAGCGAATTGGCCAGCGTGCAAGAGCGGGAAGAGGACAGAGGAGGCGGCCGCGAAGGGGGGCGAAGAAAAGGCCACTCAGAGGTGGAATAATGAGGATGCATAAACATGATGGGTTGGGGGTCCGCGCGGATTTCTCGGATCGGCGCTGGGTTCCCCTGGTGGCGCTTCCAGCGCTGCCCCTGGCACGCTCCGCGCGCAAGGGAAGGAGGTCCAGCGCCGAATCATGAAATACCTGCAAACCGCCGAATGTTCAGACTTCTGTCGGCTTTTTGCTTCTACGGGAGGAAAGAACGCGCAAACAGCAACAATTACCGCCTACCCTTTGAATGCCCGAAGTGGGGCTGGAGGAAAACCGTGGTGGATGGTTCCAGAGGGGGGAAAGTGTCGGCCTAAGGCCTGCATCCTGGTCCCACCTTGGGCTAAACCACCCTCTGCGTGGCGAGCTCTGGAAATCCAGAACAAACAAAACTGAGTGCTTGGGGGATTGAATTCCGCCGTCCTTCCGCCAGCGGAAACGCCACCGTTTTGAATTCGCTTCCACCACTTCCACCCGCGGCCGAAGCCGAGGAAGAACCCTGCATTGGCTTTCGGGCTTCGAAACCCACCCAGACCTCTCCTGGGGTGCGCACTGGCCAGAGCTTCTGTCGGCCCCACACAAGAGTGACCCTAGGCAATCGCGCAAGCCGCTGCCATCGCACCGCATGCAGCGATCACTGGGGGCGATAATAGGCCCGCATCCAAAGGTCGCTCCGGCGAAAGGTCATTTACGCCACGCCGATTCAAAGAGAGCCCTGTCCCCCCCACATCGAAGGCGGAAGCAGTGTCTTTGAGCAGAAACCGACCGTCCCAGCACCCCTGTAAGCTTACCACTACATGTTCTGAGAACGGAAAAAACGTTATAGTTAAAAGGGTCCGCCACAATGAACCCAACCAGCGTGTGTCTAGCAGCCGTGTTTTTCTGAAGCCGAGGTGGAGCAATTTATGTGGTGCGACCTACGCGGGGCAATCGATGCTGTGCAATTATTATATGCAACCTACGTGTTGCAAGATATGTGGTGAACTTGGTGTGGTGTGGTGTATGTGGTGCGCTCACTCGTGGGACTCGCAGCTGTCAACTTCACCGCCGGCGCAATCATCCCACCCACACACCCGCAACTTGTTTTTCGCAAAACGCTTGCGGCGGCGATTGCGATGAGTGTTTGGTGTTGGCTGGTGCATTTCTCTGGCCGCACTAGCCCGCGCATGCTCGCGCGCGCAGCGGTCAGGTAGCTTGGCGCGACCGACGCGGCCGCGGTGACGCTGACCTTTGGGCATTTTCTAGTGGGCACTTCAGTGCGAGTCGGGCGCTTGGGCGGGCGGGGGCGGTATCATGGCAACGTCGACAACAGCAGACACGATGATGATCGTAGCGACGCTGGTGGCGATAATGGCAACGGCGGCGGCAGCCCGGCGGCACTGCCAATGAGGGCGTCAATGCTGATCACGCCGACGACGATGACGGCGTCCTCGCGTCGGTGGTGAAGGTTTTGGAAAGATTTCGACATGCGCGTGCGGCCGACGCGCGAGAGTAGCCCTCATGGTAGTATTTGACACGGGTGGTGCCCCCCCAGCGCGCCCGCTTGGTCGAACTTCATGAGCAGGTGTTGACACCGATGGTTTTCTTGGAACCCCGCAAGAGCGCGAGCGCATTTCTTTTGTTTTGAAAACTGATGTTGCCAAACCATGTGTCATATACATACATATACACACGGGGCACTCGACCTTGAAATCCCTACGCCTGCGAAGTGCCACGTGTTTGAACGGATTCCGGCATGCGCGCGCGACGACGCGGGCGTTTGCACTTCGTTCCGTTTTTTGCAAAACGATTTCTGGCGACAGCGCGCGCGCAGGGGCGTCCGAACGATTTCGACACGCGCGCGCGACAGGCCCATTTGGCACCATGTCATGAAAGTGTAGGGGAAGCCTGTGGCTCTCTCGAAGATTCGCAGCAGCGCGAACGTAAACGTGTTTTGGAATTTCGTGTTGCGAAACCATGTTTTAGTTATGTGTCGGAACACTCCGTTTCGAAATCCTTACGGCATCCAAGGTTTCTCATGGATTGCGGCATGCGCGCGCGACGACGCGCGCGCGTGCACTTCGTTCCGTTTTTGGCAAGGGATTCTGGAACATTTATGATTTGTGATAAACGAGCGCGCGCATCATATTTTTGTAGCAGAGGATGAGGGGGGGGGCAGCATGGCTTGGATGGTGTGAATTCATATTTTTGATGGACGATGGGGCAACATAACATGTAAATTACAATGCGCAAAAATGGCCCGTCAAGTCCGGGGGGTCCTAATCCGGTTTTAGAAAATGAGAAGCTACAATGTACAACCTTTGTTGTGCAACTGATGCGGTGTAATTCGTGCGGTGCAATGAGCCAATGTCAGCTCCACGGCTCGCGCAAACATGACACCCACACACCCGCAGCTCGGTTTGAACACACACCACGATTACGATAACTGTTCGGCGCCGGCGCATCATTTCGGCCGCGCTCGTGCGCGCAAGCTCGCGCGCAGAACGGTCAGCCATTCTAGCGCGATCGACGCGGCCGCGGTGGCGCTGACCACTGAGGATTGCCCAACGCGTCTCGCAGGCCGCGCGGACGCGCAGGCACTTCAATGCGAATCGGTGGCTCGGGCGGGCGCGGAATCATGGTGACGTCAAAAACGGCAGACACGATGCTGATAGTGGCGTCGATGATGCGATAATGACGATGACGACAGCAAGGCCAATGACGGCAGCGATGCTGGTCACGCTGGTGACGATGATGGTGTCCACGTGTCGGTGGCCAACGTTCTGGAAAGTCCGGCATGCGCGTGCGGCCGACACGCATGTTCTCATTCGACAGGGACCGTGTGCCCCCAGCAAGCGCGCAGGGGCGCTCGAATGATTTCGACATGTGCGCACGAGAGGCCCGCTTGGTCGCATTGTCGCATTTGATGACAAGATAGAAGAACCAATGGTGATCCTAATAATTCGCATGAGCGCGCGCAGACTTTTTCGAAAAAAACGACTCATGCTATCTGAGGCCCTCTTGGAGGGATCGTGGGCCATCTTGGACCCTACAACGGCCCGCGGGGCCCCCCTCCAGACCCACGGAGAGGGGGCAGCGGGAAACGCAAACCTCTCCCCGAAGGGGTCGCATGAGGTTGGAGAAACGAGCTCGTCAAACAACCTACGCCCACAGGGCGGGTCGGGTTCGAGGCATTGTGGGGAGAGCCGTGAAGGAACCCAGCGCGCCTGAAAAATCCAGGTTGCAGCCCGAGGGCTTCGGGCTGCGAACTCCGCCACCCCACCCGGAACAACTTCGCAAGTGCTTCTTTGAGCGGCGCTTGCTGCCTGCACCTGCAGGTGCCCCTGCCCGGCTCGGAGAAACCCCAGATATCCGCCGATATCAACGTTTTCAAACCATTGGTTCTTCATATGTTTTCGCGGCACCCGGTTTAGAACTCCTTTGGAAACCTAGGTTTTTGAAGGACTGCCGCATGCGCGCGCGACGACGCGCGCGTGTGTGTACATCGCCACGTTTTTCGCAAAGGGTTTTAACAACTTGATGACTTGTGGTAAACGAGTGCGCGCGCACAGTATTATTTGACAGGTATCAGGGTGGGTCGATACTGGCTTGGCTGGAATGGTACGAGTTCGATCTCGAATTACAGATGGGCCAGAATCATATGCAAATGTCACAACATCAGGGGGGAGATTCATTCGATGGAGACGTCGGTCCTAGTTCCTTCTTGGACCGGAGAATTTGGGCGGCGACGGGGCGGCGACGAGGCGGCGACAGCGAGCACAGAACCGCCAGGCCGCCAGCCAGTGGCGATGAGGCGGCGACGGCGAGCACGGAGCCGCCAGACCGCCAGCCAGGCCTAGACGACGGGCGGCGACGAGGCGGCGACGGGGCGGCGACGGCGAGCACGGAACCGCCAGACCGCCAGCCAGGCCCGGTTCCTCTGACCAGAAGCAAGAACCCTCAAGTGCAAGCGCTGGTCGGGGAATGCTCTGCGAACGTGAAGCCCATTGGTCAAACCAATACGGTCTCAGCCAGAATGTTCTCTGGACATTTCGTGCTAACCACGAAGGGTTAGGTCGGGCATGTCTTCCTACAGGGGGGTTTTGGAAGAGCAATCGAAAATAGTCAAGCAATGCTCAAAAATAGTGAAGAGAGCACGAAGAAGCGTCCCCAGACTGTTTGTTCGACTATGTTTGAATCGTCCTCCTGTAGAGGGACATGCCGGACTTCAACCCAGGGCTCTTAGACCATTCCTCAGTGGGCCCACAGGCAAGCCGGGACGCTTCGCCCCTGCTGGAGGCCCCTCCTCCCTCGAAGGCGAGGGCCCCGCCCGGAGAGCGCGCGCGCGAGGCGGCGTGGGGCGGGCCTGCCGGCGGGCAGCTTGGCGGCCTTGACGCTCGCGAAAGTGCGCCTGCCGATGGGGCAGGGGGGGTGGGGGGGGGCCGGGTCTCCGGCCGGGAGTAGCAAGGAGAGGGAACCGGAGGCCTGGAAGTGGGCACCAACGCCCCAAAAAAGGGTCTGCCCCCAACGGGGCAAGATGGCCCCAGATTCTGGTGCTGGTGGTCATCTGTCGGTCACCCAGGGAGTTCGAACATTACCACCATCACCCAGATCGGGATCATGTTGGGGGAGGAGGAGGAGGAGGAGGAGGAGGAGGAGAGGAGGAGGAGGAGGAGGAGGAGGAGGGGAGGAGGAGGGGAGGAGGAGGAGGAGGAGGGGAGGAGGAGGAGGAGGAGGAGGAGGAGGAGGAGGGGGAGGAGGGGAGGAGGGAGGAGGGCGAGGCGGAGGAGGAGGAGGAGGCAGAGGGAGGGAGCGGCAGGAGGAGGAGGAGGAGGAGGAGGAGGCGGAGGCGAAGGCGGAGGACGCAGCGCGCGATTTGCGTGGCGGCCCCCGGGGCGCCGGATGTCCCACAGCGGGCTGAGGGACGCTGGGCAGCGGCCCCGCCCAGCCGGCGACAGGGCCGCGGCGGCGCGGGGGTGCCGCCACAGGCGGCCCCAGAGCGGCAGCACCTCGGGGGGGCCCCACGGCCGGGAGAGAAAAGCCAGGGATCCAACGCATGGAGGAACGCAAGGCGGATTTTGGACGAAGAATGAAACATACCCCAAAAATATCCCCAAACGGTCAAAACGTATACTAAAACATCGGCCCCAGACTATTTGGTTGACTATCTTTGAACACTCCTCCTGTAGAGGGACAGGACCGACTGAAAGCAGGGCGGAGGTTTCTCGCCGCCTGTTCTCGGCCTCGATAGGCCGTCGCTGGGCCGCGGGAACGTCGAAAACGACCCGGGATGAAAGACCGGTGCCGGGGAATGGGTCGAGACTTCTGGCCCAGAGATCCGACGTCATGATTTTTTCCATACGGAGTCCCCGGAAGTCTCGACCCATTCCCCAGGACCGGTTTTTCATCCTGAATCGTTTTCTGACGGTCCCGAGGCCCGGCGAGGGCCCCTGGAGGCCGAAAACTGCGAAAAGCCTCCGTCTTGACTTCGTCAATACGTTGGATCTCTGGGGGGGGGGGGGCCGCAATGAAAAACTCACGACGTCGGACCTCTGGGTGGAAAGGCTCACGAAGGGAGCAGGTTCTGCGCCACCTGCGGCCTCCGCGGGCCCCTCACCCCGGGCCTCGGGAGTCGGCTACACGCAAGAGTGACCCTGGGTAAGAGTGACCTTTGGTGCGCGGCTTTTGGGGGGCCGCGGGGGGACCAAACCTGGGCGCGCAAGCCGCTGCTCCTGCCTCGTTTTCAGCCATCTGGGGGCCCATCTGTGCCCGCACCAAAGGTCACTCCGGCGAAAGGTCACTCTTACGTCTACTCGAGGGAGGCCGTCAGAGAACGGCTCGGGAGCGAGACGCTGGTCCCGGCGCAGGGGCCGGGACCTCTGGGGGGGGGCCGACGTCGTGCACAAAATCGTGCCGTCGGGGGGCCGAGACCTAAGTCGGGCGCGTCCCCCTACAGGGGGATTCTCGACGAAATATGAAAAATATTCCAAAACAAAAAAAAACTCCAGAATGGCAAATAAAACTCAAGAAATAGTCCCAAGACTAGTTTTTGACTATTTTTGAGTATTCCCCCTGCAGAGGGGCAGGCCCGGTATCGGCGACGCGCATAGAATGACCCTGGGTAAGAGTGACCTTTGGTGCGCGGCTTAACGGGGGACGCGGGGTGGCCAAACCTGGGCGCGCAAGCCGCTGCTACCACTTCGCGCTCAGCGATTGGGGGAGCCCGTTGAGCCCGCACTAAAGGTCACTCCGGCGAAAGGTCGCTCTTACGTGTAGTCGACGGTGGCGAGGGGCTCGCTCCCCGGTGGACGGGTCCCTGCAGCCCGGCGGCCATTGCCATAACGGAGGCTCGCTGCCCGCTGGTCTTAAGAAGCTGCCCCTGGCCCAACGTGTCCCAGGCTTTTTGCGCCGTCTTTGATGGGCTTGTTTTCCACCACAACCACCACAAGTTGGAGGGGGGAAGGAGGAGGAAGAGGAGGAGGAAGAGGAGGAGGAGGAGGAGGAGGAGGAGGAGAAGCAGGAGGAGGAGGAGGAGGAGGAGGAGAAGCAGGAGGAGGAGGAGGAGGAGGAGGAGGAGGAGGAGGACCCCCTCCCCCCCCAATTTCTGGTGGTGGTGGCGTGGAAAACAGGCCCACCAGTCTTGGGGCCCTGGGGGCCCCCTGGGCCCCGAGAGGGGCTGGCGTGGAGGCCGCGTGCGCCCCTGGAGATCCCAGGGGGGCACCGACTGGGCCAGGGACGGCCCAGGCAACCTCCTCCTCCTCCTCCTCCTCCTCCTCCTCCTCCTCCTCCTCCTCCTTCCTCCTCCTCCTCCTCCTCCTCCTCCTCCTCCTCCTCTCCTTCTCCTCCTCCTCCTCCTCCCTCCTCCCTCCCCCTCCTCCTCCTCCTCCTCCTCCTCCTCCTCCTCCTCCTCCTCCTCCTCCTCCGGGCCTCCGCCGGGTGCGGCTCTGCTTGCGCGGCGGCCCGATCGCGACGGCGACCGGCGACGAGGTGCCGACGAAGACGGCGGGGGCGACGGCGTCGCCGACTGGGCCGACAACGGCGCCGACGGCGTCGAAGGCAGGGACATCGACGAGAGGCTGGAGAGCGTAGCGGTGCTGAAGGGGGGGCCTCTCCACGACACCCTGCTATCATGTTTTACGCGCCATTGTACTTACTCCTCAATTGCACCCTACGGTTCACGAATCGCTAGCATCACCGCGTGAACATAGTTATGATCGTTTCTCCTGGTTCATGATGAGTTGTCAGGGTGTACGCCCCAAACTTGAGCGATTAAACGACTGCTGCAAGTGACACATCACACACAGGGAGGGCCTCCCATATAGCTCAGGCTCTGATGCCTCGTCGCTATCGCCGTCCTCGTCGTTGGCGCCTTCCCGCCGTCATCCAGTCGTTGCCGTCGCCGCCGTCGTCGCCGTCGTCGGTCGGAGGTTGGGGGGTGAGATCGCAGTGAAACGGAGACCCCCCATCGGGAGATCGGTTTCGGTTTCGTGTTCGTGTCGTGCGTGCAGGCGAGGCGAAGCTGCGCGTGATCCTCCTGTAGCTAGGCCGAAGTAGGAGCGAAAATCCGTTCCCGTCCGCCGGTGGCTGGGAGGTGTCCCAGTTTGGCCAGGCGGTGCCCCGGGTGTCCCGGGTGTCAGTAGGAGCGAAAGTCCGTTTCCCGTCCGCCGGTGGCTGGGAGGTGTCCCAGTTGGGCCAGGCGGTGTCCTGGGTGTCCTGGCGCTAACGCATGTCGCTAATTTCATAATTCATTATTTTCGGCGCCTGCGGCGGGCTTTCTTATCCAATCCAGCTCATCTTATCCAATCCATCTTGTCCAATCCAATCCATCTTATCTGATCCAACCCATCTCGTCCCATCTTATCTTATCCCACCCAATTCAATCCACCCAACCCAATCCATCAATTCAATTGTTTCTGCGCTTGCGGCGGGCCAATCCAATCCATCCTATCTTATCCAATCCATTTCTTCCAATCCAACCCATCTTATCTGATCCAATCAATATTATGCCATCCAATCCAATCCACCCAACCCAATCCATCAAGTCATGTTAGTCGGCGCCTGCGGCAGGCTTTCTTATCCAATCCAGCTCATCTTATCCAATCCATATTGTCCATTCCAATCCATCTTATCTTATCAAACCCATATTGTCCCATCTTATCTGATCCCACCCAATACAATCCATCAAACCCAATCCATCAATTCATTTGTTGAGATGGGATCAAGGTGACAGGCTGGAGGTCAGTCAGGGTGGGCATTTGATCTCAATCCCCCCGCAACCTCCTTATCGCCCGCAGGGCGGTCGTATAGGTATGTGATTATCGCCGTCGCCGTCGCCATCGTCCCGTCGACAAACAGAGTGTCCTGTCAAAACGGAATGACGGGCAATGCAGCTGAGGGTGTACGTGGAACCGTGGCAGAAGCCAGGAAAACAAAAATGGCACATGGAACAGGACATGCTCATGGTACGGCAGGTTCGTGCGGTGACGGCCTCGGCGTTGGCTTCTGACATCACGTGGATCGTTCGACCTCGGAAGGTCGGAGGCTTTTCCTTCGCCACGTCGTTCCATATTGGCCCATTCTGGGCCACTGGCGACGTCCAACATTGAATGATGGGCCCGTTTTTCACCACAACCACCACCAAAAGTTGAAGGGGGGAAGAAGGAGGAGGAGGAGGAGGAGGAGGAGGAAGAGGAGGAGGAGGAAGAGGGGGAGGAGGAGGAGGAGGAGGAGTAGGAGGACCCCCTCCCCCTCCAACCTATGGTGGTGGAAACCAGCCCCCTCATTGAACGCCCGCGCTGGGGTCGTCGCCGCGCCGGCACGACACGCACCTGCTGTATGCTGTGCAACTGCTGCGGCAGTGAGCACCCAAGTGACCTGCGACGACCCGGCCCGGCTCTCCCGAGTCAATGTGACCTCGCCGCCTGGAGGCCAACACCTCTTCCTGCAGCTGGCGATAGCGTAGCTCAAACAAGCGAGCGTGAGTTCCTGAGCATGCTCCATGAAACGTGCAGCTGGTGCTGCGAAACTGAGGTGAAGAGAGGGACAGGCAAAGGAGGAGGAGGAGGAGGAGGAGGAGAGAAAGTGAGCATCGAGGTTACCAGTCACGCGGATCAATTACTTTAAACCCTGACAGAGCCAGAAGTCAAAAGCACAGGCGGCAAGTGGAGCTCAGAAACGAGGCCAGGGTGAATGGACTAATGCGTCGCGGGTGCACCCCCAGCGGTCGGACCGACCAGCGATACGACTAGGCCGCACAGCATGTCCGCCAAATATCACTGCACATCGCAAACACGGGGGACCCTGCAGAGCAGCATACAGTAGGAAACCAGCCGAACTTCCTAACACGCCAGAGAAGGGGTCAGGACGAGGAGGGAAGAAGCAAGACGTGTCAGCCGGCAGGTCGCATTGCATGTGGTGGGAGGAGTGTGTTCGCGTTACCTGGGTTGCCCGACCGAAATTATGTACGAGCTGTTCTTGCCACATGTTCCCTTCAGTGAAGGATGTAGAGAGGTGAGCGGATGATATGAGCAGGAGTGAGGATGGATGCGGGCGGATGGAGCGGGGAGGAGAGCAAGTATAAAAGAGATGAGGCAGGAACGGAGAGGAAGCATGAGAAGGGGTCGATCAAGGGGGCGGGAACAGGAGGACGCATGACGTGTGGTACAGGTGCACCCCTCCCCCCCATCCATCCATCCATCATCGTCCTTCTATTCCTACCCCTACTTCAACTTCTGCACCTCATCCCCCTTCGTCCTCCTCACCCTCCTCCTCGTCTTCATCCCCAGGCTTCCCTGCTCCATCCTCGCTCTGTTTTTGTCGTCGTCCTCCTCAACGTCATCCTCGCCATCGTCTTCCTCTCCTCTCCTCATCCTCCTCGCCCTCCACTGCCCTCGCTGCTCCCTCCTGGTCTGCATACGCCTCCTCCTCCTCCCACCTCCCAGCCCCCCTCCTGACGGGTCCTCCCCCTTCCTGTCCCCTCATCTCCCTTCCTCTCCCCTTCCTCTCCCTCCAGCCCTCTTTAAGGAAACAACTCATCCCTGTCGCACGCCCCAACGTGTGCGTCGGGCGGGCCGGGCGTTTCGCCTGACACTTCCTCGACATGTCTCTGATACTGAAGCTTGAACGTTGCAACAATTTCCGCTGTCCAACATGTCCCTCTCTCACCTGAACGCCGCGCACAATCGTCGCAAAAGTTCGCGCCCGCCTCAAGACATTGAGGGCGGCCCGTTTCCAACACGTCTCGCTCGCCAACGCGCCGAGCACATTCCTCTTGAACATTTGTACCACTTTCAATGCTGAGCGACGGGCCGATTTCAAAATCTGGCTCTCGTCCTAGCGCCGCGCACATTTGTCTTGAACGTGTGCACCCATTTCAAAGATGCAGGGCTGCCTGTTTTCAAAATGTAGTTCTCGCATTAGCGACGCGCACATTCGTTTTCAAAGAGTGCAACACATTCAAGGATGCAGGGCGGCGCCTTTTCAAAATGTGGCTCTCGCCGTTGCGCCACGCACACTCGTCTTAAACATTCGAGTCGGTTGGTGAAGGGTTCACATGGCTGAAGTCCGAGAAACGGTTCTGGCACGATACGAATGTCACAACGCAACGGTCACGTGTATTCGCGACGTTGAAGTCGTGACATAATCCCAGGAGTTGTTTCTGGCACGACTTAGGATTGCCAGAACGCAACAGGCACGTTTACTCGTAGCGCTGATGTTCCAGTAATCGTATGTTGTGGAGGGTTATCGGACGGTTGTCTTCCAGTGGGGCACTGCCCGCAATGAACAGAATCCCTGTAGGGACTTATGATGAGGGAACTTGGAGGGATGGCTTATTTCAACATCGTGAATGCGCCTTGGGTTTACACTGGTCCTTCTCCTCCTCCTCCTCCTCCCCCTCCTCCTCCTCCTCCATCTCCTCCTCCTCCTCCTCCTCCTCCTCCTCCTCCTCCTCCTCCTCCTCCTCCTCCTTCATGCCCTAGAACCTTTTTGGCCCTGGCCGCCCTAATGGGGGGGGCCTGCTGGGGCCTGCTGGGGGTCAGCGCGGCGCGGGGCCCTCCGTTTTTTGGCGTTCCTGTCTCCTGAGGGATCCCCCCTCAGGTATGGAGTGGCAGAAGCTCTCGCCGACGCCCCGCGGGCCAAATTTAGGGCACCATCGTTTCTGCGGAGATCTGGTTGGCCTTCTCTGAGTCGTCCTGACTCGTCTCTATTTCGTCGCCGTCCTCCTCCCCCTTCCTCCGCCCTCTGCTTAGGAGGCAACTACAGGGAGGTCCTCGTCGGGAGGATAAGGGAGGATTAAGCCCCATTCGGAGGCTGCTACGCCAGATTCGGTCACGGATTAAGCGGGATTCAGCTGGCTTGAGAGAGACTAAACCAGATTGAGCTTGATCAAGCCGGAATTTAAGCCAGGTTTCGGGCCAGGGCCAAATCAGAACTTGACCTCCCAGGAGTTGCATATGGAGCTCTTCCCCCGCTCAAGTTCCACCCCCCATGCTCCCTGGGAGAACGACGGTGCACTGGACGGAGGAGGAGGAGGAGGAGGAGGAGGAGGAGGAAGAGGAGGAGGAGGAGGAGGAGAACAAGGAGGAGGAGGAGGAGGAGGAGGAGGAGGAGCCGGCGGTGCGGGCAGGGCCGAGGAGGGCGCCGGCCAGGCGGACAGGAGCAGCTGCAGCGCCGGGGGGGGCCTCACGCGCGCGCGCAGAGGCTGCGCGCGGGGGCAGGATGTGCATTGGGCCCATGGTGCCCGAGAAGGGGGAGTCTAGGACGTCCAGCGTCCCTTCCACCTCCTCCTACTCCTCCTTTCCTCCTCCCTCTCCTCCGCCTCCCCCTCATCCTGTTCCTCCTCCTACTCCTCCTCCTCCTCCTCGTCCCTCTCATCCGCCTGTTCCTCCTCCTCCTCCTCCTCCTCCTCCTCCTCCTCCTCCTCCTCCTTCTCCTGCTCCCCCTCCTCCTCCCCCTCCTCGGGCGCTGCTCGGCCCTGCCTGCGCCCTCCCTGCACCCGCACCACGGATCCGAAGCACACCGCAGGATCAATCGGCATCGCATCGGGGAGTCGGATGCGAGCGTTGTGCCGCGTCGGATCGGCTGAAGATCGGACTCGGATCGAATCGGGCCGGCGGGCATCGACACCGAATTGGATGGGTCGGATTGAGAGTGAACCCTGACACGTCGCCAGCAGACGGCCGAGGAGGCCAGGGCAGCAAATGGCGACGGTGCAGAACCCACTGCGCAAGCACGTGCAGACAGCCCGATTCTGCGCAGCGTGAGGTCTGGCTTGCTGGAGGAGGGGCAGGACGACGAAGACGACGACGAAGGAGGAGAACGAGGAGGAATGACCTTTGTGTTGCATCGATGTCTGGGTGAGCAGGGGAACTGAGGGGTCGGCCCGTGAAGCAAAGCCACGTGCTGGAGGCACCATTGAAACAAGCCCGTCGCAAGGAGCAATGTACGCGCACGCGCAGTCAGGGCACCCTGGCGATACACAGCTTCGCACCCGCCCTGATAGGGGGGATGAGGCGAGTGCGAATGGGACTAGACTCTCTATCCCGCCATCCAGGATGCCGAACGTCTGCGCACCTGCCCAAAAGCCACGGGATCCACAGCTTCTGGCTCGACTCCGACTAGGCTCGGCTCGTTCACGCCGGATCGCACACTCGGTCTCGAACGATAGCGAGGGTCAGATTATGAACGGGCATGTGCGAAGCTCTGACTGCCATGCAAGGGGGCGCTGGTCGTCCGGAGCGCGCGGCGGTCAACACGACGTGCTGGGAGGGGGCCGGGAGTGACTGCCGAACGCGAGGGGGCAGGCGTGACGTGGTAACCTCGGAGGGTCTTCAGAGCAAGCAAGCAAGCAAGAAGTCATACACCCGGAGATGCGTAGGACACAAATGTGGAAAACATATGGAAAAACGATCAGCCGCATTATACAGATCATGCTGCACTACAGGGTCTTCAGAGCCCCCCCAATAATTGGAGACTAGTATCTGTTCGGCAACATCATTGACGGATTGGGGTCCCAACAATGGTGGGAAATACTGATTTCTACACGGCGACACCCGCCGCGCAAGAACGACGACGACTATGACTAGGTTAAGACTACGACCACGATACGACTACGGCTACCGCTACGACAACGGATCGTTAGCGACCACAGCTACGATTACGACTACGACTAAGACTACTGGTTGCACATGGTGCATTATTACCTCAAGGGGAAACGGTCAACAATATCGCGCCCGACGAACATCAGAGGGAACTATTATGGTGTCGCCGCGAGCGCCGCTCAAGCTTGCGCAACATGTCTTATGATGCTCATCAAAATGGTGTAAGTCAGAAGCGAATTGATATGTCCTCAAGCAACCAGCACCTGAAGAACAACTACAACTATTTGGAGTTACACCCCCTTACGAGTTTGCTATAACCTTGCCCTGCGCGTGGAGTAGCCCATGTAGCACGACCCCCCCCCCGATAATTAGCTCACAACAGTATCTCGCCCAGAGGGAAACTAGACATCCGCCGCCCCGAGGAAAAGGACATAGAAACTCAAGAGAGGACGAGGAGAAGGAGAGGGGGAAGGGAAAGAGCGGGGAGAACGAGAAGGAGGACAAGAGGAAGAGAAGGGATGCTGAGGGAAGGAGGAGGAGAAGGAACAGGAGGACGAGTCACATTTGCGCTGGTGCACATGCTCGTCTTGAGGAGGAGCCTCAAGAAGACCTTTGCTCAAGCGGAGCACTCAAGGACCCCCTGGGGCCCTGACAGGCCCAGGCCCTTGCTGAAATGAGCCGTCTGAGGCTCAGAGCCCCTGAAGCCCATGAGGGCCCTTGCCCGCATGGAACCCTCAAGAAGCCATTGGGGCCCTGAGAGTCCCTACAATTCATGGTAGCATTCACAAGCTTTGCCCTGAGGACCCTCAGGAGGAGACAGAGGATGAGGAGGAGGAGGAGGAGGAGGAAGAGGAGGAGGATGAGGAAGAAGAGGAGCAGGATGAGCAGGAGGAGCCGGAGGATGAGGAGGAGGAGGAGGAGGAGGGACGAGGATATTCCCCGCCAGGCGAATAAGATGGGGAGGGGGCAACAACTAAAGAACCTCCTGAGGTTAGTGGGCTTCGTCATCACTGAAGCTGACGGCCAGAGTTTAAGGGGAGGCGGAGGAGCAGGCAGCACAGCGGGTGAGCGAACGAAGCGCACGGGAATCGAAAGTGGCGCGTCTTGGCGTCCACGGTGCCAAAGCTCGTCGGGCGTGCCACGCCCTCCCTGCTCGTGACCTACTTGCCCAGCGCCTCCGGCCTCGGCGACAGCTCCATCACTCCTCGAGCCAGCCTCGGGGTGCCGAGTCCGCGCGCACCGTCTTCACGCCTTCAGCGTGGACGGTTTGGAACGCCAGCGAGCGGCTGCCACGTCCCCGCACTGCGAAAACTGCGTTGGCCCTCCTCTGCTGGTGGCACTTCGCCAAGCGCAAGACCACGATGTCCTGCTGCAAGCCGGCGCGGCTGGAGGTCGGGAGCGCGCTCTCGTCGCCCTCGCCTGCCACCCGGATGAGCCAGCTCTTGATCTCCACTCCCACGGCCCCGCCCACGCCGCACCGCGCCGAGGCATCCGTGGCGCCACGACCACCCGAGAACGAGAGGGCGCGCGGGCGCCCCGAACGCCCTGGGCGTCTGAGCCTGCCCCCCGCGGCAGCGTCGCCGTGCCTGCTCGGCAGCGTCGCCGTGTCTGCGTCGTCTCCCAGCCTGCTGCCCGTGCAGAGCACGTGCCTCCCGCGGGCACGCACAGGACCTTCCCGTGCAGAGCCCGTGCCTCCCGCGGGCACGCACAGGACCTTCACGGGCCCGAGCGCCCTCCGCCGCCCGCGGCCTGACCTCCCCCCCCCCGTTCCGCCCCTGGGCTCCGAGGCGTCCCTCGGCTCAAGTCGGGCGCGTCCCCCTACAGAGGGCTTTTTGGGCGAAACATAAAAATGCTAAAAAAAATGCCCTCCAAATAGGGAAAAACAGACAAACAATAGTTCCCAGACCATTTCTTGACTATTTTTGAATTTTCCCCCTGTAGAGGGACAAGCCCGACTTAACCCTTGGCTGTCCCGACCGCGTCTTGGACCCGAGCCGCCGGTGGCAGGCGAGATCTGCCCGCGCCTCCCCGCGGCCGCCTCTGTCCCCCCTCCGCGCCTCCGCGCCCCGGACTGCCGTCCCCCGACCGCGCTGCGTGCGCTCGCTGGCGCATGGGGCGAAGAAGAGCCTGCCGCCTGCCCGCGTCTCCTCGGCAGCGCCACCGTGCCGACCGCCCTTGCGGGCAAGGTCTATATCCATACCCACTGCATCTTGGAGCTTCGGGCTCGCCCGAGGCGCAGTGGACGTGGATACGAACCTGGCCCCCAGAGGCTAGATCTCTATCCTGTCCGCACCCACTGCGCCTGGGCCACACGCGTGGCGCCCCTCTTCCCAGGAAGTCCAAGACGTATGGGATACGGGTATAAATCTTGCAGCTTCGGTGGCAACTCATGGGAGCCTCCCATACCATTTTGTCGGCTCTTGCGAATCGACGCTCATCGACGCTAATTCGACGTTAATCGACGCTGCATCGTCGCTATCTCATCGACTCCCAGACGCAAATCGACGCTAAAGACATAATTCCGAGGATGCACCAGGCTCCCATGATTCGCTACCGACTGCACCGACCGGCGCGAGCGGTGGGCCGTCTGGAGCACGATCTTGCCAGTACCTGGAGTCACCCGGGAGATGCTCCTGCCCCTCGGATGTCCACGACCTCGTGGCGTGCTGGCCGCGCCCGCGGCGGCCGCCGCGCCCGCGGGCGAGGAGCACCACCCACAGGTGGGACACAGTGTTTTATCTTCGTGCAGCGACATCTGGGAGGAACCACGGAGCCACGTGAGCTGTCTCTCTCGAATCCAAAGCAGGAATCTGCAGTGGACCCCTCGACAAGATCTTGCGCAGAGGCGCGTCACCCTCTAGCTCGCGTTGTATGACACAGGGGACATAGAGGCCGAAGACGAGGAGGAGGAGGAGGAGGAGGAGGAGGAGGACAAGAGGGGGAAGATGAGATGAGGAGGAGGAGGAGGAGGAGGAGGAGGAGGAGGAGGAGGAAGAGGACCAGGACAAGAGGGAGAAGATGAGGATGAGGAAAGATAAAAAACACGGCATGCAAATTTGATTCACCGCTGGGCCAGAGCGGGGCCCAGTCCAGAAAACAGGTTGCAACTGTGTTGCATTAAGACGCACTGAGTCGAAGCCATCGCAGGACAGTCCGCGCCGACGCAGGTGTGGGCCAATGCTGAGAAAGCATGCGGAACATGCTGCGAGGGCAGCGCAATCTGCGGGACTTTGCTGGTGTAGCCGCGCTTCAAAATCATGAGACCCGCGCATGTACCCGAAATAGTCTCTCTAGAACCTGCAAGCTGGCGTGCAATTCATGAGGTGCAACAAATTAGAGATCAGCCTCTGAGGTGCAACATTCGATGTGCACCTTACGGAGAGCAGCCCGCGGAGAGCAACTCACGGGGTGCAACGCAACTCATCGCTTACAATTGCAACTTCCGCTGCGCAATCTGTGAGCCACAACCCATTGCTGAAAGTACATGTGGGGCACAACCTATGGGGTACAACTTGGTTGTCCCACCCTTGGGAGGAACTGCTGCAGTTTCTCCGAGATGGCGTGGAAGCTGGGAAGACTTGAGTAGTTTTCGGAGCCGCGCTACTATTTTGAGTCCCGAAACGGTGCGGTGACAGACCGTGCGGTGATCTCGAAATCCCCCAAGGCCTCACCACACGGTCCGTCAACGCACGGTTTTGGGCCCTCGGATGCCCCAGTCGCCCGAGACGTCCTCGGAGAACAACCCGATTCCCAAAACCGTGCGGTGACCCCGAATCCCCACCGACTCACCACACGGTGTGGTCACCGCACCGTTTGGGGGCCCCCGATACCACAACACATGGCACATGGCCGGAACAGGCAGGGCAGACGAGTGCCATACACGAGACAAACACGCGCTTGATGTCTCTGCTCCTCGCGATCGTGCTGCTGCCGCCCCGACGCTCCTCCCGCGCATGGCGAGTACGAATCCATGGCCCGTGGTCTTCAGGGTGGAGGTCGCCTCGGTGTTATGCTACTGCCAGTGTTGAGCCTCAGCTGGGTCCGAGAGGGACCGAAGTAGGCAACACTAAGCACCCAAGTACTGATGTATCGACAGGTGGAGGGGGATTCAAGATGGGAGAGTGAGGCTGAGAGAAACGGGGGAGAGGGAGACGGAAAGGACAGAGAGGACCCGGGAAGGGATAATGGGAGCACGATGGGACCGGATAACTTCTCAGCGCACACACTTGAGCCAGCTGTAGTCACGACGAGCTGCGGTGGAGTGGTACTCCAAAGGTCCGATCTGACATTCGGAAGGGTGCTGGGCGACAGTGGGGCCGCCCGCAGTCACATCCCGCATCTGCCCGTGCGCGCGCGCACGCGGCTCCGTGCAGAAAGATGGAGCCAAAGATACCTCTGGCCGTGACTGCACATCCGGCCACGCCACGCGGCGCGCGGCCCTGGAAGGGGGGGGAAGGGAGGGGACAGGAGAGAGGGGGGAGGAGGGGGAGCGAGGGGAAGGTGCGGGGGGGAGGGGGGGAGAGGGCCAGGAGAGAGGCAGGATGGCGTCTGTGGAGGAAGACAAAGAAAGCAGAAACATAAAGTTTAGGGGCTGAGCGCGGATTTCTTGGATCTGGGCTGGGCCCCCAACCTGGCGCAGCTAGGTGCGGCGCCGGAGGCGCCGCCAGGGGGCCCCAGGCGCCGATCCAAAAAATCCGCGCGGAGCGCCAAAAAATCATGCTTATGGCGATTTCTCTTCCTCGATGTCTGGGAGGAGCAGAGGGAGGCGGGGGGAGGAGGAGAGGGAGGACTAGGGAGGAGGGAGAGGGGGGGAGGAGAAAGAGGGGTCGGCCCGTCCCTGCGTCAGGTCGCAGAGACTCCCAAGAAATCGAGTCCCGCCGCCCGGGGGCCAGGAGACGGGGGGGAGGACCCCAGCAGGACCGGGGGCAGCGGAGCGGAGGGAGCGGAGCGCAGGGCGGACGACGATGGAGGAGGAACAAAAAACAGGCGCGTAAACGATGAACATAAGCATAAGCATGAAGCACAGAGGAACAAACTAGAGGAGGAGGAGGAGGAGGAGGAGGAGGAGGAGGAGGAGGAGGACGAGGAGGGGTACGAGGAGGAGGAGGACGAGGAGGAGGAGGAGGAGGAGGAGAAGGAACAACACTCAAAACAGAGCTGAAGCAACAGACTGCACAGACACACAAGCCATCGGAGGTCCGCCCAGATCTCTCAGATCTGCGCCGAACACCCCCTCTCCCTGGCGCACGGAGCCCGCCGGAGGCGCCGCCGGAGGCGCCGCCGGAGGCGCCGCCGAGGCAGTCCAGCGCCGCTCCGTCAAATCCGCGCGGGCCCTCGACAGTTCACGGTCGGGAGCTTTTGCACAGCGTGTGCTCTGGACTTCGACGCTTGGGGACTGGGGCATGGATAGCGTGTCGCGCCAAGGCGCGTTGGTCCAGAACTGGCGGAGCGACACGCTATGCAAAAGCTCCCGAAGGCCTTCTCAGAATGCGGCGGGACTTCTTAGAAGCCCTTGCGCCTTCTGAGAGGTTTAGTGCGCGGGGAAAGCTCAGAAAACCTCTCAGAAGGCTGGAGGACTTCCGAGCCTTCTGAGAAGGCCTGCCCCTTCTCGCTTCCCCCCTCGCTCGCCGCCGATATGTGCACCCTGAGATCCGACGTCGGAAAAACATGCAACATCGCAAAGAAAAACATGACCAGGCCCTCAGACACCAGTTTTGCTGCGTCACTTTTTGAGCCGGATCGATCTGTGAGGGTCCCGGGACCCGAAACTGAGCGAAAACTCCAGGATCTCGGGGATATGTGTATGCCTTTTGTCCTTCATCGAGGCGAGGGAGAGGGCGGCGCGGCTCCAGTTCGGCGCCGAGCGGCCCACAGAAGCGCCAGCGTCACCAGCCACTGCCCCCCCCGCCGACGACGACGACGACGACGACGACGACGACGCCGACGACGACGACGACGGCGACGACAACGGCGACGGCGACGGCGACGGCGACGGCGACGGCGACGGCGACGGCGACGGCGACGGCGACGGCGACGGCGACGGCGACGACGACGACGACGACGACGACGACGACGACGACGACGACGACGACGACGACGACGACGGCGGGCGGCGCGGCTCCAGTTCGGCGCCGAGCGGGCCCACAGCAGCGCCAGCGTCACCTCGGGTGTTGCTAGAAGTGCCCCTGGCCCAAGGTGCCCCTAGCTGTTCGCTCAATTTTCGAGCCCCTGGGACCCTGTGGGCCTCGTGAGGGGTGCTCTGGAGGCCGCCTGGGCCACCCCGAGAAACCTGGGGGTACCTTGGGCCAGGGGCACTTCTGGCAACACCCGATCACCAGCCACTGGGCCTCCCAGTCTCGCTCGGCGGGGCCCTCGAGCAGGGCCAGCGCCTCTGGGGGGGGGAGGAGCAGGCGGGGCGCGCGCGGGCGCCTTGCCTGCGGGCGGGAGGGGCGGCGCGGAGGGGGACGAGGAGGAGGAGGACGACGAGGAGGAGGAGGAGGAGGAGGAGGACGAGGAGGAGGAGGAAGAGGAGGAGGAGGAGGACGAGGGGTACGAGGAGGGGGAGGAGGAGGTGGAGGAGGAGGAAGGCGACGAAGGCTCGCGGACCCCTACGGAAACAGAGAGGATGCGCTTGGGAGCAGGAGGGCAAGGGGTCACCAGTCATCGGCGAAGGCAGAACACCGGCAGAGGGGAGGGGGCGGAAAGGGAGCCGTGGGGCGGGGAGTGAGGGAGGGGGGGGGAAGGGGAAGGGGGGGGGAAGGGGAGAGGGGAAGGGGCAAACTAGGTGCGCTGGCGCCTCATCTGACATCCGATCCCTCCCTGCCTTCCCTTCCCGCGGACGCGTGTCATAGATGACCTGCGACTCACACAGAGAGACCACTTCGTGTTATGCGCACTCGTAAAGAGGGGAGCTGCGTGCACAGGAGGAGGAGGAGGAGGAGGAGGAGGAGGAGGAGGAGGAGGAGGAGGAAGAGGAGGTGGCGGTTGAGCAGGAGGATGAGCGGGGGGAAAGGATGAGGAAGAACAGCAGCAGCAGGAACTAAAGCAGCAGAAGGATCGGGAGGGGAAGGAGGACCAGGGGAAGGCGGAGGAGGGGAAAAGAGGGGGGCGGCGACGATGACGAAAGACTCGAATTCAGAAAAGTGGCCCGCGCTGGGGCGAGACGAACAGCAGCAGCAGGAGCTGGAGTCGAAGGATCGGCAGGAACAGGAAGACCAGGGGAAGGCGGAGGAGGGGCAATGATGGGGGGGACCACAGTGAAGCAAGTCTCGGATCCAGAAGAGTGGCCCGCGCTGGGGCGAGAGCGCCATGCCAAACGAAGGGAGCAAGGAGCCGATCCGAAAGTGAGGCCCACGCTTCAGCGGGAGCACCATCCCGAAACACCGAAACCATTTGGATGGGCAAGAAGCCAGAAGACAAACGCTGGACATACTGTGTAAATAGGCACGTGGAGGGGGCGGGAGATCTTCAGACAATTCTTGGGGAGGAGGGAGAGTAGTGCTCATATTGTTTTAATGTTGAAGGGGGAGGGGGGAGGGGAGAGGGACAGGACAGGGTGGATGGGATAGGAGAAGAGGCAAGGGGGGGAGGGGCGTCGCGCCGACGGGCTGACGGCAGCAACGTCTGGACATGGAACAGTTCGCGGGGCGGGGCAGAGCGAAATGCACCGTCGAGCCATCGGCGGCCTTTCCTCTCCTTCTGGCTCCCCTTCCCCTCTCCCCCACACACCTCTCCTGCTCCCCCCGGTCGCCCATC